GCCACCATACAGAAGCTGAACTTGGTCATCACCCTGGTTGAAAGCGTTTTGAACATAGGTTTTAGGCTTTTGCAATTAGAAGTAGCTATGAAGATGCATCTGTTCCTTCAATGTAAAATTTACAGGGTCACATGCGCCTTTTTCGAGAATGCTCACCAGTCTTCCTCTTGTTTGTTTCCACTCTGGCCTATCTCTAGGGCCCGCATGCGTAAAGGTCATGCTCTTAGAAGGAATGTGGTGAAGGACGCTGGGCAGCGTGAACAGGTCTTTCTAGAGAAAATGGACCATCCCAGAAAAGGGTCAAAACCATGTGATCTGCAGCAGCGTCTCCTCCATCTCTTTCACCACTGCTATGAAGAAGAAAAGGAGGACAATGATGAGGATGAAGAGGAGGAGGAGGAGAAGAAGAATGTGTAACACTCTCCCCGCTCCCTGGATCTGCTCATTCTAATGCCCCCACTAATCCTATGCATTAGCCACTTGCAATCCTAGTGTGCACCATGGCACCTCAAAGCTACCACTGTCTTCCCATTTTAGTCCTGGAAGATGACATTTTGCTCACAATTTGGAGTTTTCTTCCCTGGCTGGTATTATGTATTCTCGATTTTCTCTTCATGTTCTGATATTCTTTTGCCTTTTTGTGACCAAAGAAAGCCTTCCATTCTTTTCCTGGTTCATTTTATTTTCCGTGTCAGAGTTGTCTTCAGTATTTTTGTACTGATGCTGTGGTAGAGTGACAAAAAAAAAAAAGAGAAATACTATTCACATCAACTAACTCACAAACCTCCTGAAGGTAGAGAACACATTACCTGCAAAATAACAGTACTACTGTCTGAGTAGGTGCTTGGACTGAAAGACAATATTCACACTGCACTGCCTCTCACAACCAGTTTCTCAGATGTTCCTAAATGAAAAGCTGTCTCATTGTACTAACCTCTCCACTCTTTTGATTCAGGTGGTCAAGATGTCACACAGAAAAAAAACAGACTGTATTGGCACTGAATTTAACTGCTGCTGCTGTGTTTTGTGTAGGCTATGTGTAATCTGTCTTTGGGAATTATATGCTATCTATAATCTAGACATTACTGACATCTGTACTCTAGGAATTAATAATCACTCATGTGAAGTAGAGCAGGCATGACTAATCAACATCTCTCATTATAATCCTAGTTTTGACTGCTTTGTAGTCCCCTCCTGCCTCGCTTTCCCTTCTGCGTGTGTCTTTCTATTTGTGTTATGTTTACTTCTGTTCACGTTCTGCTGTTTTTCTTAAATCGTTGATCTTAACTGATGTTGTATGGATGGTGAATGTGTGAGTGAGGTTTTAACTATAGTTCTTTTGTGTTAGTTTGTTCATGTATGTGTTGAGTTAAATGCTGCATTTAAAGCTGGTCTGAAGAGGGTAGTCTAGTTTATTTAAAACCTTTTTTTAAAGATGTCTGATTTTAGAGTTTGTTTTTTATTTTGAATTTAGTTTACAAGTTAATATTGACAGAAGCTTCTGACATGACATTTGTGGTAAGGTGATCAGGTGTTTCTGCTTTATTTAATGTTGTAATTTATTATTTTTTCTTTTGAAACTGAAAGTGTCAGACCAGGTGGTGACAGTTTTGTGGGTGAACTGAGTCCATGTGTGACGTAAACGAATGTGCGGCAATTTCTGTCAGCAAGACAAGAAATGTTTATTTTACACCAACTGCTTTTGCTCTTCTGAATATCTGGAGGGAACACCTCCATGCTTTTTGTGCACAAGATATGAGGTATAGTACTGTATATCTTATCCACATTTATTGTCTCATTTTGGTGAGACAGATGATAATAATAATAAAAATACACAGACATAATGAGCTAGGTTTAGAGCTTAAATATTATCACAGCTCTGAGTATCACTGCTGTATTTATTTCACATCCACTATCACTGTTTAGTTTGTGTTTTAGAAAAATGTCAAATGCAAACTAGTGGAAGTTCACTGTGACAGCTATGCTTTTAATTTGATGAATCAGCATCCCTTTTCTGTGATGACAGTTGTATAAATAAATAAATAATCACAATGCATATATAAATATCTGTAAGGGCATGTATTACCATATCAAAATTCAAAAAGAAAAAAACAAAGTGGCTGCAGTGTGTCTATGGCTGATAGAGAATAAAAGCCTACAATGTACAGTCCTGTGTCTTGTGAGTTTAACTCAGAAATATGATACAGTACCTCCTGTGTACTGCATAAACCTCAACTCTGGACATCTCAGAAATACTTTAGGAAAAGATGTGTGACAGATTTATTAATATAACCAAAACAATTGTGTACTGTATACATTAAGCAGTTTCACAACTCTACCGGACAAAAAGAGCCAATATATTATGATCAACTCAAGTCAGCCTTTTCATATAACTGTGCACATATACACAATAAAATGCTTATGAAGTGTCAATTGATATGAACAAGGCAGTAGCCATGTCAGTAAAAGGAAGGTATAGACATGACACACAGTATAGATACCGGCTTTCATCAAAATTAATTTGACAGTTCTAGGTGAAAGGTTATCCAATCAGAATTGTTGTCCCGCCCCCAAATCTTTTTAAATAGCTGTTTCACACCTCTGGAATTACTCAAACCTAGTAAATAACTCAAACGCATGTGTTGTCTTATGTTTCTCACTCCCCTCATTTGAAACGAAATATCAAGTCAAGTCTTACTCCTATTTTTACTCTATTAAATGGGCAAATCACTACTATACTTTCTATCTACCATTTGTTTTATTCACTATATAACATTACAAACATAATCATTACCCTGTCTTTATTTTTTAGATTCATCTATCAGGGGGGAGAACAACTGTGCGGGCTGAGGATGGAGGGAGGGGGTATGGGAACCTGAGGGGGGTGACCTTTTGACCTGGGAGGGGGGAAGGTGGGTGACTTGGTCCTTAGGTTGCAGGCTTGCTGGCGCTGGTGTTGTTCAGCATTGTCTTGATCCGGTTGCTGTTGTTGTTGTTGTTTCGGGGCGCGTTGAAGCTCCGCCGAGTCCAGGTTCTGTTGTTCCCTGATGTCTAGCGAATTGTATGCGGCTGCGTGATCTTGCTGAAGGACAGCGTTGGAGTCTGGAATTGAGTTGAAAAACGTTATTATTACACGAGGTGAGACCCATTATTATTATTATGTATTGTCACACAAGCTTAACCGCTGCCAATACTTACTTTCCAAAGTGTCCTCGGTTAGGGATGGCTGTTGCTGATCACGCAGAGTGCCGGTTTCTTTTTTTTAGAGAATAGAGAACTAGTATTTATTTTCGGGATGAGGTGTATATATTTCAAACATGATTCTTTAAACTTACCGGGCGCCTCACGGTTTGAGTGATTGTTCTTGACGTAGAGCTTGTTCATATGCTCTCAAATAGCTGTCTGCCCCCGGGATAAAAAAAACATTTTTTCAAAAAAGGGGAAGGATTATATTTAATATATACAAAGGGTTGTAAACGTAACAGAATACTTACTGAGTTGCTCTTAGGGACGCATACCGTTAATGCTGCCATAAGCTGCCTCTGATATGATCTTGGTTAACATACACGTTTTCATAAAACATAAAATAAAAATGCATTACTTTTTCTTTTCAGGGTCTACCTGGTTTCATGTTGAAGTACCGAGTGTGAAGAGTGGCATGCAAAACCGTCTTTAGACCACCCCTATTTATAATGACTATAAATACTAGTATACATCTTATGGACTGAGGGATGGCTGGAAATACTTCATACCCGGAGTACAATGACCCCGCTAGGAGACATCTGCACTTACCCGAAATTGATTATGATTGATCTCTTGTTACCCATATCTCACAGTCTGCTGACTGAGTGTAGGACTTGTGTCCGGGTGTTTTACCCTTTCACACTCCCCTCCTTTGAAACTAAATATCAGGTCAACTCTTACTTTCTCCTATTTTTTTACTCTATGAAATGTGCAAATCACTACTCTGTTTTAGCTGTATGTCCATTTTGTTTTATTCATCTCACACTACCCAATATAACATTACAAACAAACCCTAATAATAATGGTTATGTCTTTTTAAATAGCTGTTTCACACCTCTGGAATTACTAATAAATAACTCAAGGACATCTGTTGTCTTATGTTTCTCACTCCCCTGATTTGAAACTAAATATCAGGTCAACTCTTACTTTCTCCTATTTTTTTTACTCTATTTAATATACAAATCACTACTATACTTTCTATGTACCACTTGTTTTATTCACTATATAACATTACAAACAGCATCATTACTCTGTCTTTATTTTTTTAGATTCATCTATCAGGGGGGAGAACAACTGTGCGGGCTGAGGATGGAGGGAGGGGGTATGAGGAGGACAATGATTCTGATTGGATAACCTTTCACCTAAAACTGTCAAATTAATTCTGATGAAAGCCGGTATCTATACTGTGTGTGTGACATGATACCACTGTAATCACAGGATTAATATCTTCCTTTGGTTTTGCACCCTACAGTTGATCTACCTTTAATTTTATAACATAAAAATGTCCCATTTATCTTTTTTTGCCACCGGGGTGGAGGGCAGTTATTAATGCAAAAACTGATAACAGGGTAACAAATTGGCATTAAGGGCTA